GTTCAGTTTGCTCATTTAGAAGAATTAGTAAATGAACAAGAAAACTTGTTCTTCAAACTTGCACCAAAATTAAATAAAGATGTTCTCACCCTAACAAATTTTAATAAGATGCAAGTTAACAAAGCAACCAGTATGATAAATAGAGATGTTAGCAGTGCATTAAATTTTTTTAGCAGATGAACAAAAAAATAATGATTTTAACACAACGGCTGTATTTATCGAAATAGTATCAAAATGGTTTACGTTAATTACTTCGCGAACTCTATTAGTCGCTTTAGTAAAAAACGCGAACAATGAAAAGTCTATTAATACTTTTAATAAACAAATACAGTTTTTACAGTCAGTTATTAATTTATTTAGAGATATACATATTAGTAACGACGCCAAACCTGTGCAAGCGGGTATTATGATAACGACACAATCATTTATTGAACTTACAAAGTATTTAATGGATGATCGAAGATACTTATATGTATTGAGAGGACGGTTTACACAAGACTGTGTGGAAAATTTGTTCTCAAACATCAGAAAAAATTTCCCATACCAAACTCTTTACAATTCAAGCACAGTTTAAAGATTTTAAGTGTGTCTTAATATTTACAAGCGTTACAAGATACAAATTATGAACAAGATGACGGTACCTTATCATTTATCATTAAAAAAACGACCTAAAACAAATGTAATTCAAGTTATACACAAGGAGGAACTTGTAATTCCAATTGAAGCTGAAAACAGGGTTATTAATCTTAATAATTACGAAATGAACTCATTGTATCACGTAAGCGGTTATATTTTGTCTAGAATTTGTAACACTAATATAGTTTGTAATAATTGTGTCGAATCTTCAGGATCAAAAACATATGACCCTACTGTAAACTTTTCTAAATTTGTATTTCTTAGATGTTACAGAACACAGACATTATTTTTCGTAAATAATGAAACTTTTCGTTACTTTCATACGATGGAAATTATTTTTCGATGACATATACCTTATTTAAAAAATGTTACCTACGACTTAGTACAATTCTTTACTGCGAAAATGAAACATGTAGAATGTCGTACACTGAAAGACTGTCACAATATCTTCAATATAATAATGCGACGTTTTATTCGATTTAGAATTAAGATAGAATGCCAGAAAAACCGATTAAAATCACGTGTACACAGCAGCACAACTATGGCAAGGCATTTTATTGTAAAATAATATTATGTATGTATATAATATAATTGTAACATTATTATTATAAAATTATACAACAATAAATATTAATTAATATTAAAAACCTATCGTCAATTTATACCCATTTTCTATCTTTAAAATCTACCTGTGACCCGTCTTATTCATTATGTAAATCTGCAATACTTCATTATACAAAGAGGATGTCCGTTCTCAGGAATAATCGCACTCTTATGCTATTCAAAACGGGAATGTGATTGGTTCCGCTATTTTGCTTCAAAACTGCCTGGAGCCAATGAAAATTCTGCCCCAATTGGCCAGATTCTTACTTATAGGGACTTTAGACTGAAGCTCCCATGTCGAATCCCGACGACGAGTTGTCCGTGTGCCTGTTTTTTTTTTCTTACCTTAGGGCATGTAATTAATATTTTTCGAATATAATGCATTCGTTTAGCGTATATCTTTTGTTTTTATGCTATTAATCAGGAATTAGTTAGATAAGAAACAACAATAAACCATATACAAATGTTTGCAAAATATAAGTCAACATATAACTTGCAAATAATATCGCTGAAATGTACAGCAATCTACCTGCTGTGCAATGTTTGTTTTTATAGGCAAGTTAAAAGTATGATAACGAGAATTTACAACTATCCTGATTTATTTACAAGCGATACAAGTATACATTTGGGCATTCGAGGTAATATGATGCACATACAATCACTTTCACTATTTATCATCATCACCAATAATATTTTTATATGTACTAAAAATATATTTAATTGTAAGCAATATAAATTATGTGTCTATATTCGTGTTCGCGTGAAACAAACCTGACACTTCCCTAATTTTACTCCTGATTAATAGCATAAAAATGAAAGACATATGCAAAACAAATGTATTATATTCGAAGAACATTAATTATATATTCTAGGGTAAGAAAAAGAAAAACACCGCATACGGACAACTCGTCGTCGGGATTCGAACGCTTGCTGCCACCTCAAAATTGTTCGACGTGGGAGCCTTCGTCTGTTCAGCTACGCTGTCTCGCTGAAAGATAGCCGCAACTTTAGCTATACGTGTGATACAGTCCCGCGATCCAAACTTTATACTATAATTTCTCACAAACAAAGCCCCATTGTTATAAACCATGTTAGGATATTAATGCTCAACGTTCACAACTAGCAAACGTGCTATGACTCGTTCAGAAATCGATTTAGCAGTCTGTGGCATCTCTTTATAAAACGCAAAGCTCATCAGCAAATAGTGTTACAAAAAGACGCAATACATCAAGAAATTGGAAAGTCGTTGGGCTTCATATTCGCACGGTGATAAGACACAGACTTAAATTTGACTCTGGAAATCTTATATGTCGATATAGTCTTATATCGGATGTTTGAAATTGTTTATTTCCTATTTTGCGCATAACTAATAGTTAACAATGTAGTCACATTCGATAGAATCAGGCGACGGATAGGGGAGGGAGGGGCGGGGGGAAGAGGGTTGCTATAATAAAGAGTAGCATGAGGGGAAAATTTGGAGATTTTTGAGAGTATAATGAGAGAACGTTGCAAGTACCTCGGGACGTAACAATAGATTAAAAAAAAAATATTATATTGGTAAGAAAATATAAACTTTGAAAAAACATGTGAGATCCGTTCAAAAAAAACATCAGAGATGTAAAAAAAACGCTAAGTATATTATATTATTCCTCTCTCTAAAAAAAAAATGTATTGTAATAGTGTTCGTAAAAAAATATAATTATCTTAATTATTGTTACAAAAATATAATTATCTAAAAAAAATTACTTTGATAGTATTCGTGAGAACGTTGTTACAAAAATATAATTATCTGAAAAAAAAACTTTAATAAACCATTACAGTTGACGATTGTCAAAGCTACAGCTATTTATCGCTAAAAAACGGGTTTCAAGTTATAGACCTAATATTTGAGATATATTGCAATATTTTATTATAATTTCAAGTCTCATTTACATTATTCAAAAGTTAATTACGTAAAAAATTAATGTTTAATTATTCATTAATTAATTCTTTGATATCGAGTTACGCGTAAACGTGTCTTGTTAAATTTGGTACTGAGTATTATGTTTACTTTAAGCTAAATTTCTTTTAGAAAATGATGCACGAAATATCTGTGAACCTTGTCATACAAATCCTTCTTCTGTATTTGTAAGTCAATAGCGATGATATCAACAAATGTTTCAAAAAGATTGAATACTATAAACGTATTTCATATAACGTTAGTCTATGCATTGGTCTTTCATCTAATTTTATATTTTGCAAGCGTTTCGATTAAAACATTGATGTTAAGATATCAGAATAAAAAATTTTTTTGAAGATATTTGATATTTGTCTTAAACAATAACGTGTGAAAGGATTTAAGAAAATATATTAATGACGTAACAATTTAGTCATGTAATTATGATATGTATTTATCTTACAGTGTACATTAAAAATTAGGTATGCATTACATTATGCCGCAAATGGGCATGCCAAGTATGCTGCTGAGCACTTAGCTCAAGTTTTTAGCTCAAATTGAGTATAAATTCGCCTGCGATTGCTACTTTCTAGTGGAAATAAATTATTATGTCTGTACATTTATTACAAATATTGTTAAATGTTATTACTGCGTCGGAATTCGCGGTAACTTACGACTCTAAATTAGTGAATTGGTTAATTCTGTAGTTAAAAAACAATGCAGCAAAAGCGCAGGATGTCCTGTATACATGGACTCTTTCGTGATTTCATGATTTTTTTATAATATTGTTTTAAATTTTTGCAAAGTCTATTATATTTTTTACAGTGTTATTTATTAAAGTTTTTTCAGCTAATTATATTTTTGTAATAACGTTTTTTGTGAACACTATTACAGTAAATTTTTTTAGAGGTAAATTTATTACAAATATTGTTGAATGCGTAGGATGTCCTATATACATGGCCTTTTTAGTGATTTCACGTCTTTTTTATAATATTGTTTTAAATTTTTGCGAAGTTTATTATTTTTTTTTTATTTTTTGTTATTCATTAAGTTTTTTTCAGATAATTATATTTTTGTAACAACGTTTTTACAAATACTATCAAAGTAATTTTTTTTTAGATAATTATATTTTTATAACAACTTTTTTTTACGGTCGCTGTTTAGTCTACGTAATTCATCAATAAAAATCATAGAAATAAAATTTGCGAATTTCGAAAACTCGATATTTGCTAATTTAGCAGATAAAAGAACAAGAAATATACTAATTATGAATTTTTCATGACAACTGATAAAACAAATTACGTTTATATTAGTTTCGATAAAATACAACATTTAATATATGTGATATAGAGATATATCGCTTTAGGAGGCTTATAGCTATATAGCTTTTGACTACTTTCTCTAATTAGTATTAATAATCTTGTTCCGTATACGTTTGTCAAAAATCAGACACTTCCTTGCAGCAGAAGCTGAATGAATAGCATCAGCAGCGTGAAATACCGGCACCCGCAAGTAAGTATTGTATTTCTAAAGCAGACTTTATTACAATAGTTCTTAGTTTTATGAGCTTAAGAACAATGGCTACAAGAAGAAGATTTATAATCTTTTGCAAGATAACCAAAATTGGAATATCTAAAACATTGCGGTGTACGGACGTGGTTAGTGAAATTATAAATTAAATTATACGCAAAGTAACCACTGGTGTGTTAAAGGAAAGAATTCCAAAACACTCGATGTACATTAGTACATTAGTCGCTCAATATTTGTATCTTCATCCAGGTTATGAATAATAAGTTCATTACATGTCCTTAGGAGTCATACCTACAGGAATTCCGAATGATAAGCCGTAGATCAATTTTAATATTCTCAACAACCTCTAGTCCCACTTCAGCTAATTCCAGATGAATTTTAATTTTCTCCATATTCGGAGAATTGGTAACAATCTTTTAGTCCATTTTTGTGTGTGTATGAAACCTTACTTATTTTTAATCCACAGTCCGAGTTTAACAACTCTATTTATATCATCCTAAAGAGTAACCTGAAGAATAGCAAATCTATAAACGATATCTTTTTAGAGACGATAAAAGAAACTTGTATTTAGGCACGTCAAAAGTAGAACTACACGAGATCCGGATCTTAGGTACAGAGAAAGAAGAAACGATAGAAACATAGAATATAAGTCAGATGATTTCAAATTCATGTGCCTCTTTAGCACCAACATAAGTGAGTTCAATTCGCTTTCTGTTCTCAGAGAACGTATCTAAGATGGCTTTTGTAATATCTATTATATTCAAAGATTAGAATTTTCTTCTGTCTTCCAACAGTCCTGCAAAAACAGTGATACACTTCCGTATATACTCTAAAAGCAGACTCCAGATTTATCCGCTGACTTCTTACTTGTAAAAGCCAATTTGATAATAGTGATAATATGTATTTATGAATTTGTTAAAGGCCAATATTTTTTAATTGCTCATAACGACACTTGTTGACGATCTCATTGACGTACCTGATACACAGCAGACAGATGCAGACTGTCGTATAATCACTCGCCGACAAAGGCAATTGCAGACAAAAACAGATTCCACATTAGATCTTCCTCCAGCAACAAAGTTCCGATTTCCCGAAATTATCCGTTGGAGTAGATGAAAGGACGTATGCGTCATCAAACAAAGAATTAATAGACCAACAGCTTCCAGAAGTTCTGACAACTTGTAGGTTAATCCTAGGAAAAATGAAAATAAGCACCAATGAATGCGGTAGATGTAGAAACTAAAACTATGTCAAGAAAAAGTGCACCAGAAAAAGAAACTGGAAAAAGACAAGTCTCGATGGGTAGAAACAGCAGAAAAGATGCACACATACAAAACCGCAAAAAAGAACATCTATATCATGTGTCAACATAAAAGAAGAAGAGAAAGAAGGGGAGAACGAAAGAATGGAAGAAAGATAGATGAAAAAATTAAATCATTTTTATGTGATATTATATCCTCAATTTTTCCCATATCTTTATCTTTTAATTTTTTCTTAAGAAATATCAGATATACAAAAATAGAATGTATGTATGCGCGTATGTATGTGTGCATGTGCGTGTGTGCGGAAGTGAATTAAAATTCTAACTTTTTCGAAAAACTTAAGTATCATTGTAAAGAGTATAAAATATTTATTAACGTTCTTCCTATTTTACTTACACATATGCTTCCCGGTCCGGAAGTAGAAAGGTAGTGGTTGATGACAGGATTAATAGGCCAACAGACCTATAGTAGAATAAATAAATCGGAGATTCGTTGGTATGCCCGAATAGTAAAATACATTTTATTAAGTGTATCGTTTGTTCGATATAGCGTGGACAATATATGCTTGATGGCCACTATCATTATAACAATGTTGTTCGCGAGCAAACTGTTGCCCACGTGTTTTTATTCAGAAACGTGGACTTTGTTGATGCGATAGCTTTGAGAAGCAAGAAATACTACATACGTATGACTAAAATAGCTTAAATTATCCTATTTCAGACAATTTAAATTATGCAAGCATAGTAAGTAAATTTCATCCATATTTCACCTCAATATATTATAAAATATCATACTATATTCCTCATGAGAAAAAATATAAGGATTATTTAAATTAATATAGGGTTTATTCTACGAGAAAAGCAACAATTATCCAATGTTGTACATAGTACGATGTATCATCGTGGAGTAAGTTTAGCTAAATTCGATTTTTTTCTAATTGTTTTTTATGAATGTAATATTTTCTGTATGATAGTTACACAAATAGAACATACAAGAATGTACAGTAATATATAGTGAAGCAATAGCAATTTTAAAAGAATTTAATATTTCTAAAATGACATGATATGTGGGATACACATATACAGAGTGTCCTACAACTGGTAGAACACCCATTAAGGGTAGGTAGGGAGTGAAATTTGGAACTGAAAGTTCTTCTTCCATTTTTGGATCCGACAATTAGTTAATGAGATATTAATTTGTAACCGCAATGTCTCGCGTGCCGAATTATAATACATTCGCCGGTTCGGGTTCGTAGGAGGAGGAATAATTTTGAAATAGTGGACTCAAAAATAAACTTGGTCGTATATTTAAAATAAAGTGCTGCTATACATTAAATTATATTTTTTATGTTGACGCCATTGGTTTTCGGTCGATTGTGTATACGCTTATCTGATGTTTGGTTTCGGCGATGGCTCACAAGGTGTTGTGAGCGGTGCGCGGAACGCGGTCGGTATTGTTGTCGCGTTGCTTCTTTCGACGTGAATCCGTCTGTTGTCGTTTCACTTCTATTCTCTTTAAATGCCGGTTGACAATATCTTTCGCGGGACGTGGTCTTGCAGCTTAGCTGCGTTCGGTAAATTGCCCCTATGGCAATTTCTCGTATGCAACGGTTTCTTTAGATAATCGTGGATACGGTGATCGCAGGCGGAGGCCGCTTAAGCAATCCGTCTGCCGGAGTGGAGCCTTCGTGGGCTTCGGCTGCCTGATTTCTCGAATGAACCCTGCTCGTTTATACGAGATCGCGGATGCAAAGAATACAAACTTGCGGACGCGTCGATGCGCCGCAGTCACGGAATAAGTCCGCTCTCGCTTTCTGAGTGCGGTCTTTAGAGGTACGGAGATCGACTCACGTCCTTGCGAGTCGATGACAGTATGATCCTGTCGCGGATCAATACAATACGGTAGCGAAGCTGCGCTGCAACGGAGCGGTGCTTCGTTAATACGGAGATGAGTTCGCACGTTGCAATTCAATGCCGGTGTGATCTCGCTCGTGTTAAGGCGAGTCGAGATCCGGTGCAACGATGGGAAGGTTGCGTTAAAGCGCCCTTTCTGCGAATGGTTTCCAGGACCTTCGATAGCCTTGGAACTCTACGAATTACGGTATTTAGCTCCGTGTCGGCGCCACGTATTCGTGAGCCGACGGCGGAGTGACTTCTGTCACGTCTTCGCGAATGGGAATCTGCCAGGAACGGTATTTGGAGCAATGTCGATGTTACGTATTCGTGAGTGGACGGCGGAGTAACTCCTGTCGCGTATTCGCGAATGAAAGTCCACCAGGAACGGTATTCAAAAAGATGTTTTAGTAATCTTACTCGGTATCGGAGGTTCGGATCTCTCTAGAAATCGGTATTTCGAGAGCGGATCGGATTCTGATCTCAATCTGAATTCGCTGCGCTTTATATTTGCGAATCTCGTTTGATTCGCTGTGTATCGCGGATGTTCGGCGATTTGTTTACACGTGCGTTTTTGCGCGTTTTTGCGCGTTTCCGCGTTCTTGTTGCGTGTTGTTATGTTTTCCTGCTCGCAACGATCCCTTTTTGGAGCGTTACAAATTAATTAAGTCTGCCAATCCCTTAGCGCCCCGTGTGAGCGCTCAGGGCCGTAGAGCGTTGTGGACTCCTCAGAGGTTCTGTTTATCTGTTTTTCTCCCCTTTTTTGTATCACAGAGGAATAAATATGGATGAGTGAGTGAGTGGATGTGCGGATGCCTGACCGGGGCTAGGGGGTGGCAAGTTTTCAATGTGTGGGGGTGATGTATGGATGTTTTTGTGTGCGGTTATGAATGCATGGATAATTTGAATGTTCTTAATGTGAGTGAGCGAAGTGATTGCACTTTATGTGCCGGAAGGGAAGGGCATGTGTGGTATGTTTCGTTCGAGTGCGTGGGTGACCTTAATATTTTCTGTATGGCGATGATTGAATATCGTGAATGATTTTAGTGTATGTGTACAAAAAGAGGAAAAAAACAGACAAGTAAGGTTCTTGAGGAGTCCACGGCGTCTTACGTCCCTGAGCGTTCACTCAGGGCGCTAAGGAATTGGCAGACTTAATTAATTAATATCTCGTTAACTAATTATCGGATCCAAAAATAGAAGAGGAACTTTCAGTTCCAAATGGTATCCCCTATCTACCTCTAACAGGTGTTCTACCAGTTGTGGGACCCTGTATAATATGTGTATTAAAAACTTTGTGAGTTTCATATAAACACCGTGTGATGCATTCAACAAAGAGATGGCACGAATTACGAAATGCGAAATGAAACGAGTCATACATTCTGTCAAATAAATACCGGGAATTGTTCATTTCAAAAGCCCGCATATAAGGTATGAAAATAAATTTTTTGCTGTAAGTTAGTACTAATATACCTAATTGTCACGTTGAGTTTTGACGCTATTTGTCAACCAGTTTGTTTACAGTTATTGGTTTTGTTAGTTGACCTCAAGTGTACTCTGTAATTTATAAAATGGATAAAAATATCGAACAAAGAGCGTGCCTCAAATGTTGTAAACAAAATTTCTTGGGCTGAGTTGTTGAAAATGTTATAGAAGACCTACAGTGAATTAGTTTTATCGAAAACACGAGCATACGAGTGATATAAAGCATTCAAAGAAGGCCGAGAAATAGTTGAAGATTTGTTCCAGTCGATCTTCAAGCTTGATCTACAATATGTTCTTTGCGTTCTGTTTCTTGTCTTCTGTCTTTTTCAAGCTTAAAGCTTAAAGTGTGAGTCAGAAAGAGATAAAGAAAAAGAAACAAGAAGCAAACAAGAAGCACATTATAAATCAAGCTTCAATATCTTCGACTGACGAAAACATCGACAAAGGGGCAAAAAGTCAACAAACAATATTATCTGAACGTTATGAGGCGCTTGAGAGAGAATGTTTGCCAGAAAAAGCCAGATTTGTGGAAGAACAATTCTTGGATTTTGCACCACGATAATGCGTCGTCTCACACATCGACCCTTGTACGCGAATTTTTGACCAAAAACTCAATGAATGTCATCGACCAAGCACTGTATTCGCTAGATATGGCCCGTGTGACTTTCTCCTGTTCCCCAAACTCAAATTACCATTTCGTGGAAGATGTTTTGAGTCTACTGAAACCATAAAACAAAATTCGGAGAAGGAGCTGCAAACCATACTGGAAAGTGCTTATAAGGAGTGTTTCAACGACTGGATTATTCGTTGACATAAGTGTATCGCATATAATGGGGCCTATTTTGAAGACGACAAAATAAATTTGGATGATTAAACTAATATTTTGTGTTTTATTGAACAATTTCCGGTGAACAATGCTATGATTATTAAAGAAATTTATTAGTGGGATTTCACACGTATGCTTCTTTGTGGCTCCGACGAAGCATTGTGACCTTCATATGATCCTTTAGAGTCAATCGGACTCTACATGTTCCCCCGTGATTTTAAATTATTATTTTTGTTTTCACTGTAAAATTTGAAGAAATGAAAATATTAGGAACACCCTCCAATCGCCTTGACTTCGACAAATGTTGTTAAGGTCATGGTCTTGAACAACATTCAAAAGGTTTCAGCCGTCGGTAGAACACCTTGGGTACCAATGCTAATGGCAACAATATTGTAACTTTGAAGCCTTTTAATTCGAAAATACTTAATGAAAAAATATTTTATTATATTAGATGTACAACTTTGCTTCCGCCGTTTTTTTTCCGAAATTCGAGGCTTTATTGTAAAAAACTGGTTATACATTTATGATTCAAAGTATTGTCGCTGGCCACTACTTTCTCTCATCTTTCAGGCAGTGTACGAATTCCGCGTCGAAAAAACTGGTCATCTTTTGAGGTGATCCACGAATCGATCCAATTTTTTACTTCTTCATAAGACCGGAAGTGCTGGTCAGCCAGGCCGTGTGCCATTGATCGAAACAAGTGATAGTCAGAGGGAGCTACGTCTGGAGAATATGGCAGGTGGGGTAGGACTTCCCATTTCAACGTTTCCAAGTATGTCTTGACCACTTTCGCAACATGGGGTCGAGCATTGTCATGCTGCAAAATCACTTTATCGTGACTCTCGTTGTATTGCGACCGTTTGTCTTTCAATACTCGGCTCAAACGCATCAATTGCGTTCGATACCGATCGCCTGTGATTGTTTCAGTCGGTTTTAACAGCTCATAATACACTACGCCGAGCTAGTCCCACCAAATACAGAGCATGACCTTGGAGCCGTGAATATTCGGTTTGGCCGTCGACGTGGAAGCATGGCCGGGAACTCCCCATGATTTTCTGCGCTTGGGGTTATCGTAATGAACCCATTTTTCGTCCCCAGTCACAATGCGATGCAGAAATCCCTTCCATCTTTGCCTTTCAAGCAGCTGTTCACAAGCAAACAAACGCCGTTCAACATCTCTCGGTTTCAATTCGTACGGCACCCAATTTCCTTGCTTCTGAATCATTCCCATGGCTTTGAGGCGTTTTGAAATGGCTTGT